TCGCTTACATTGTTAATAAAGTAGTCCACATGTCGCTTCAGCTCGTCCTACTTATTGCCATATTAAAATTATTGTCTCCTCGTCGAATTTTTAAATAATAATAATAATAATAATAATAATAATTTTACAAGAAGTCGGAGGCGGATAATACTTTAATAACGAAGGTACGTGTTGGGTCGTAAGTATCCACGCAAACACACATCCAGTCAAAATAAGGCACTTGTCAAAGTATCCGAACGTTTTCGGTCCCTTCTCATCAAGGATTATACAGGGAATGGCTCAAGTTGGAAAGACTAAAACTTATATAGCGTAAAGATATGAGATAACAACACTCGTGACAAGGTGGAAAAAGTATCAAGTTCAGCACGACACAAAACTCGAAGGAAATAATAATAGCGACAAGAACATAGTGAGCAAATTAAGTTACATTGTTAACACCTCGACGAGGAGTAACACCAAACAATTGTAGCGACAACACATTTTCTTTCTGTACGCAAAGTTCAGGATCTAACTTACGGATATACAAAGCTTCTAACACAGCCAGATGCAACGCACATCTACCACGTGACAATGTCTGTGGGACTTTTCTACTAACTCTGAATAGCCTCCATCCGGCGTTGAGATTCACGTCGGAAGCGGAACAAAACGGCAGATTATCCTTCTTGGATGTACAAATATCACGCAACATTAACACTAAGAGTTTGGACACCACTATCTATAGGAAGCCAACTTTCACCGGCCTCTACATTCCGTGGGGGAGCTATACTCCAACGAAATCGAAGAAACATCTTGTGAAAGCGCTAGTTTATCGTGCGCATAGAATATGTTCCCCTCACCTATTGCAGGACGAATTAGACAGACTGACATCAATATTTACGAACAACGGCTATCCAAAGGAATTTCTGGCCAAGCTTATCAGCGAAAAACCGGCGACAGACAAGCCGATCCAATTTGGACCTGACCTTTGCCCAGTGGTGCTCCGTTTACCCTGGGTTGGCGCCGGTTCTGCGCGCGTGGAGAAGGATGTTCGTGGTATCGTATGTCCATCTTATCCGTGCGTCAAGCTGTACGTCATATTTGGGACAGTGCGTGCGTTCGGTGTGAAGAAGGATGTTCTACCTACCCTTAGTAAAAGTAACCTTATCTATTTCTTTCAATGCCGACAATGTGAAGATCGGTATGTAGGTAGAACCCTTCAGCACCTGGGCGCGCGCATTCGTCAACATGTGCCGTTAAGTTTTGTTCCGCTTGATGCGCGTGAGTGTCGTCCTCGCCGTGGTCGTCCTCCAAAATGTGCTGTCCAGTCCATCGGTGGATCTTCCTCTTCCTGTGAAGATATCACTGCATGCCCGTCCTCCTCCGCGTGTATAGCGCAGGGTTCAGCTGAGAACAGCGTGAAAGATGGTGAAAGACCGACACGTAAACCACCGAAATTGACAAAGGATCTGTCTGCGTCGGGAAGGGTTACGCGAAGCCAAGTAAAAATACGGACGGGTGAGGACGCACGTACAACGACAACGGAAGTGACAACAACAGTCAATATTCGAAAACGTGGTAGACCGCGAAAACGAACCTCAATATCGAACACCGGACAAGTTGGAGTAAGAAGATCAATAGAAATCCGCAATGGAGGAGACGTAGCTGAAAGGACACTGGGCATCGCGCACACAACGGCTAGTGTCAGAAAACGTGGAAGGCCGCGGAAAAGCAAAGAGACGGATAGTGGTGATGCCGCGAAGAGGCGAGATGACGGGACATTGGAGGAGACTACACCCAACGGAGCTAAGAATCGCACTTCGTCCATCAAGCAACATCTGTCAGCCCGTACCAATTGTCGTGAGTTGTACAGTGATAATGTGTTCTCAATATTGTCACGTGGTAGATGTGCGTTGCATCTGGCTGTGTTAGAAGCTTTGTATATCCGTAAGTTAGATCCTGAACTTTGCGTACAGAAAGAAAATGTGTTGTCGCTACAATTGTTTGGTGTTACTCCTCGTCGAGGTGTTAACAATGTAACTTAATTTGCTCACTATGTTCTTGTCGCTATTATTATTTCCTTCGAGTTTTGTGTCGTGCTGAACTTGATACTTTTTCCACCTTGTCACGAGTGTTGTTATCTCATATCTTTACGCTATATAAGTTTTAGTCTTTCCAACTTGAGCCATTCCCTGTATAATCCTTGATGAGAAGGGACCGAAAACGTTCGGATACTTTGACAAGTGCCTTATTTTGACTGGATGTGTGTTTGCGTGGATACTTACGACCCAACACGTACCTTCGTTATTAAAATAATAATAATAATAATAATAATGTAAAAGAGAAAAGGACATATGGATACGAGTTTAGAGTAACTCTCCATCACTGTAACATGATACTATATACAGTCAGAAAGTTACTCTAAACTCGTATCCATATGTCCTTTTCTCTTTTACATTTATTTATGGCTCAACATCCGAGTTTCAAATAATAATAATAATAATTTCGAGTCCTGGTGGTGACAGTCGATTTTTTCTTCAGACTTTTCCCGTTTGTCTCTTTCCCTCAAAACCAGTTAATATTTTATGACTTGGGGCTCCCCGCGTGCTAGTTTGTACGTGAAGTGTGTGGGTACAGTGAGGGCTGCGTCCCACCCGCCTGTGTGGATTCACAGGAAGTGTGAGTTACTAAGTCTGAAGAAAATGTTGAACGGTCTCTGCTTGGATGACGACTACACCATAGCTCAGTGGTTAGAGCATCGCTGGCTACAAGCGAGGGTCCCTGGTTCGAGTCCTGGTGGTGACAGTCGATTTTTTCTTCAGACTTTTCCCGTTTGTCTCTTTCCCTCAAAACCAGTTAATATTTTATGACTTGGGGCTCCCCGCGTGCTAGTTTGTACGTGAAGTGTGTGGGTACAGTGAGGGCTGCGTCCCACCCGCCTGTGTGGATTCACAGGAAGTGTGAGTTACTAAGTCTGAAGAAAATGTTGAACGGTCTCTGCTTGGATGACGACTACACCATAGCTCAGTGGTTAGAGCATCGCTGGCTACAAGCGAGGGTCCCTGGTTCGAGTCCTGGTGGTGACAGTCGATTTTTTCTTCAGACTTTTCCCGTTTGTCTCTTTCCCTCAAAACCAGTTAATAATAATAATAATAATAATAATAATAATCGGCGTGGAGAAAGCAATTTTATTAGTGCAATTAGGAGTATAATCGATGCAGACATGGCCAGACAACAACGAGTTCATGGAATTTTTTTTAAGGATTTTTATGTTATTCAAAATCGATTTTCGTGTTCCGCTCATCAGTGAATAGTATCGGAACTGAGGGTACTGTGTACAACAATAGAACATTTTTATAACAGCATAATTAATTAAAAGTGTGAACAACAAAGGAAGTGCTACAGCATTACATAATAGGTGTCAAACTTCTGTATTTTGTCACTTGTTATCACGTCCAGATTGTCTTGGTGTGTACGATGATTCTCACTTTTCTGTTTTGTGCCGTGCAAGTTATGTTAAGCAGTTGAAGGTTCTGGAAGCTGTATGTATTCGTGTGCATAATCCGGTTCTTTGTAAACAAAAGAAGCATGTAGTCGCGCTAAAGTTGTTCTCGTAGCTGGTTATCAGATGTAAATGTTGTGTCATGTTGCACTGTATCACCTCTTGCTTTGTGGCTGCACTCAGTTATATACGTTAGCACTATGTTTGACACCTATTATGTAATGCTGTAGCACTTCCTGTGTTGTTCACACTTTTAATTAATTATGCTGTTATAAAAATGTTCTATTGTTGTACACAGTACCCTCAGTTCCGATACTATTCACTGATGAGCGGAACACGAAAATCGATTTTGAATAACATAAAAATCCTTAAAAAATTCCCTGAACTCGTTGTTGTCTGGCCATGTCTGCATCGATTATACTCCTAATTGCACTAATAATAATAATAATAATAATAATAATAATAACAATTTGTCTCTTTCCCTCAAACTAGTGAAGATTTTATGACTTGGGGCTCCCCGCGTGCTAGAGTGTACGTGAAGTGTGTGGGTACAGTGAGGGCTGCGTCCCAACCGCCTGTGTGGATTCACAGGAAGTGTGAGTTACGAAGTCTGAAGAAAATGTGGAACAGTCTCTGCTGGGATGACGACTACACCATAGCTCAGTGGTTAGAGCATCGCTAGCTACAAGCGAGGGTCCCTGGTTCGAGTCCTGGTGGTGACAGTCAATTTTTTCTTCAGACTTTTCCCGTTTGTCTCTTTCCCTCAAACTAGTGAAAATAATAATAATAATAATACGAAGTAGTGGTTGCGACTTCGGCGATGATTTGTAAGAAAGGGTTTGCTCTGGATGGCAGTCGTGAGTCAGTCAAGTGTCAAGTAAAGTCGGCGGAATAGCGCGAGCTCCGGTGTGGGGAGCAAACCCTTTCTTACAAATAATAATAATAATAATAATAATACGAAGTAGTGGTTGCGACTTCGGCGATGATTTGTAAGAAAGGGTTTGGGTCAAGTGTCAAGTAAAGTCGGCGGAATAGGGCGAGCTCCGGTGTGGGGAGCAAAGTCAGCAAACCCTTTCTTAATAATAATAAGAAGAAGAAGAAATTCGGGTGGGCGCTAGTTGTAATAAATAATACCTGGTTGATAAAATAATTAGTTGTTGTTGCAGAGTGAATGGGAAACAGCGGGTCTGCTCTAGAAAACCTCTTCCTAATTTGAATGACTCATTTTCTTGGTGCGTGCTGGCTGTAATCTCCCTGACCAAAGCAAGAACAGACCGAACAACAAGTGGAACTGGAAGGGAGTTGACTACTGTACATGTACTCGTACTCATACCCAGTATCGTATGCAGGGGGCCTAGGCATGAGGTGAAGTGAAGCGAGGGCTGACACCGTTAATACCAATGACTGAATAGCCGCAACTGCACCGGTTTTCTTGGCCTAGACAGTGATATCCAAATGCTTTGCTGTTATACCATGCACATGTACTGTGACAGCAGGATCATGAATATGAATCAAGACTTACCTGTCCACCTAGTTTGTTCTGGATAAAGCTGAGCGCCTCTCTGACCGAGAACAACTGTGTCTGGTCTCTAGTTGCAAGGAAATTAAACCGCTCAACGAACGGCTTCCTCCACCACCAGGATATGACGGCTGGCAGGATCTCCTCCTTCAGCTCACGTTTCGCATACAACAGGGCGCAGCCGCGGGGCGCAAAGCACCACTTGTGCAGGTTGCCTGGACAGAAGGAGAATGTCGGCAAACGGGCAATGAGGAACAGCTGCTGTTTTCCTTGCATCGTACCTGCGTGTAATTGAATCTCTCTGTGTGTAGGAAGACGATAGCAGTGATGTGGGAGAGTTTGTACCATGCATGCACAAAGCATGGTGTGTTCTACAACTGAGACTAGTCCAGTGAAGTACAACTGTTGCCAATGCAATGCCAGGCACGGCATAGTGACTATGTGGCCAGGCAATGTTAGGCACGTTCACACACCATTTGATGCCCATCGCCGGAGGCGATGATAGCGATGCTACGGCAGAAGCCATAGCAACTTGTGCTGGGATTGCATCATTCAACAGCTTGCAAGGCTGAATAATTTACCTCCCCTATTCAGCCTGGTCTACACCACACGACATACGTGCCATCTCCACGCTCCGCCAGTTCCGCGGCAGCATGATCCCGCACACCCTTAGTACCTTGAGTACCAAACGTCCTGTTTGATGATCAGCTGGCTTAGTTTTTCTCCACCTCTATCCTAATTACATCAGTCCCCAATTTCATTTATTACTGCTTTCTATCTGCATTCGCCACCTTTTCATTGGGCAGATCTGCCCGTTTGGTTTGCGAATTAAAATAAACACAACAACACAACAACACAGCTATGAAGTGGCTTTTTCTGGCCAGTGAATCCCTACTTTTTGGTCTTTTTCATTTTTTCCCCGCACACACATCACACCACATACTCCGGCATGCCCTTGCTGTTGGTAGCCACCCTGGAAAATGAAAGAAAAGTCAGGAGGAGTCTGAGGAAGAGAAGAAAGATGTGTGAGCCCATAATTGTCGGGAACCGAACCCGCAACCTCTTTATTGGAAATCGCTGCTCATACCACTGCACCGTATGGCACACGCACACGTTCACACACACACAAACATACACACACACACACACACACACACACACACACACACCATTTTGACCATTTGACGCCCATCGCCGGAAGCGATGATAGCGATGCTACGGCAGAAGCCATAGCAGCTTGTGCTGGGATTACACCATTCAACAGCTTGCCAGGCTGAAGAATTGACCGCCACTATTCAGCATCGTCTACACCACACAGCTATGAGGTGGCTTTTTCTGGCCAGTGAATCCCTACTTTTTGGTCTTTTTCATTTTTTTCCCACACACACATCACACCACATACTCCGGCATGCACTGGCTATTGGTAACCACCCAGGAGAATGAAAGAAAAGTCAGGAAGAGTCTGAGAAAGAGAAGAAAGACTTGTGTGACCATAATCGTCGGGAATCGAACCCGCAACCTCTCGAATGGAAATCGCTGCACACTGCACCATATGGCACACACGCACACACACAGAACAGAGTTTATCTAGACTAGAGTCTAGGAGTACGTACCGGTATAGTAGTCCACATGAGGCAAGTCGGACATGTTCAGGTCGATCTGACCAGGCGAGTGTGCACCGTCCACCAGCACACGAACATTTCGGCTATGACATATCGCAGACAGCCGCTTAATAGGCATGAGCACGGCAGATGGACTGGTTATGTGATCTAGAATACACACTCGAACATTGGGATGCTCAGCGAGCCCCTCCTTAAACTGCTTCACAAGTGCATCCTCGCTCACCACAGGGAAGTCCAGGCACATGCAAAACGGCTTGATGCCGCGCCTCTCGCAAACGCAATCGACGGTGTTCTTCACGGGTTGGTACGTCCAATCCGTGGTCATTACTTCGTCGTCACCGCTCAGCGGGATCGAGTTAAGGACAGCGTTGATTCCCGTTGTTGCATTGTCCACGATGGCCACACAGTCTGTAGGTGCCTTGATTAGCTCAGCGGCAGCAGCAGAGTTCTCTGAGAAGTACTGACGTGCAAGCCGTCGGAACCACCTGTCTGGGTGCTGCTCCATTTCCTTTCGAAGCTCCTGCTGCATGGCTACAATACTTCTTGGCACAGTACCAAACGAACCATGGTTGAGGAAGATAGCACCGTCTTGCAAACACAGCTCATCCTCCCGTAGGCGCTGTGCGTCAGATCGCAAGCAGGAGCGGACACCTTTATAGAGAAGATAGGCTGTGCAGCTGGTGGCACCCACAGCCGCAGCACCGTAGGCCAGCTGAGTGGAAGTCAGTGATCCGATATCCATTCTACACCTATGTACATGCACACACACACACACACACACACACACACACACACACACACACACACACACACACGCACATACACACACACACACATATATATATATACCGGAGGGTATAATTATTATCTTCACTACACCATAGTTCAGTGGTTAGAGCATCGCTAGCTACAAGCGAGGGTTCCTGGTTCGAGTCCTGGTGGTGACAGTCAATTTTTTCTTCAGACTTTTCCCGTTTGTGTCTTTCCCTCAAACTAGTCAAGATCTTCACTAGTACATGTATATTATATATAATTATATGCACACACACCTTTGCTTTGCTTTTGACGCCCATCGCCGGAGGCGATGATAGCAATGCTACGGCAGAAGCCATAGCAACTTGTGCTGGGATTACACCATTCAACAGCTTGCAAGGCTGAAGAATTGACCGTCACTATTCAGCCTGGTCTACACCAAACAGCTATTTGGAGTGACATTTTCTGGCCAGTGAATCCCTTTTTTTGGTCTTTTTTTCATTTCCCCCCCCCCCCCCCCACACACACATACGCGCACACCACACACACAAACACACACAGTCAGACTCAGACATGCCCATCGCGGAAGCGATGATAGCGAACAGCTATGTTAGACATAGGAATTTATTAGACATAGCAACTTGTACTGGGATTACACCATTCAACTTGAGAGCTTGCAAGGCTGATGAATTGACCGCCACTAATTTTATCCTGATACTGTGACAGTATCCACCAACTTCACAGACTCAGTGCACTGGTTCATGCTGCATGCAGCGCTGCTGATCACCCGAAAAGTGTGGTCTATACAGGATATTGCACAGTGTCCGCGAGGATTATTTTTCATAATCCCCGTGGCGCTGCGCGCCTTGGGGATTTGAAAAATAATCCCCTCGGAACCGTGCAATATCCTATACATAGACCACCCTTTTCAGGTGATCTACGGATATTTCCCCTAGTTTGAGGGGATTATGGCTCATAATCCCCTCAAACGAGGGGATCTTATATCCACAGGATATACCAAGGACAGCAAGGTGTCCATGCATGTTAGAGATCCCCATGGAAAAGAGAAAACATTACTTCTTCTATTCTTTACTTTATTTCTTTTGCACTTCAGTAAAAATATTATTTCATTGCCAAATTAGTTTGAGTTACCTTTGAAAATAGTCATGTTCAACTGTCTTCGTAATCATCATACTCGTCCAACCGATGTCACCCTCACCCTGCGAATAATCAGCTCATCTCTCCCGTAGCTCCACTTCTCCTTCCATCATGACCGAGCATCAACTATACATCAATTTAGAGCATTATCCATAGCCTGCAGTCATATCATGGCTGCTAAAATCCAGAGGTCATGACTTCGTAACATGCATAATGTTCAAATGTATTATGTAATGTGCATGTACACGGAGTTTTGCGGACTACCCGCCACTATCTCGTCCACCCCGGATACCTGATGACGGCTGATTCACTCGCATCTTCTGCTACGTGTACTGTGTCAGTGTGAGAAAGAACTTTGAAGAAGACGAGTTCGAACATACAATACTGTATTGCCATGATTTCTACCCTGCTTTTCATTGAAAACACTATCTGGATGACCTCTAGGCACCGGCGGATTATGCCGGCATAGACCACCCTTTTCAGGTGATCTACGGATATTTCCCCTAGTTTGAGGGGATTATGGCTCATAATCCCCTCAAACGAGGGGATCTTATATCCACAGGAAATCCTGTGGATCCCCTCGGACGGTCGGTGGGTCGGACCCAGTCCTTCTACCAGCATAACCAAGAGAGCTAGCTCCCTTGGCTGCTGCTTGAATATGCAAGAATGGGCCTTCCAGATAAGGTCTAAAAAGGGGAAGTGGCTATAGTTGTCAAAAGAAAAGCATATTGGTGAAACAAAACTAGGGAAGTGGTAATCTTTCTATCAGCAACAAACAAGAGCATCTTAATTTGCAACATGCTACGTGAACCGGGTGTGCCGAACACCAGTAACCATAGAGACACACCACACTCTCATATAGATACTGGTTATAAATAACCGAGTAAGGAAAATAATCCAATAGCCTATGGAGAAAAAAAGAAATAATAATTAAGTCAATGACAACAAATGCTCGTCCAGCACACGAGTTGTCATAGAAACATTGAACGAAATGACAAAAACGCATAGTAATGAGCATCGCCGTTCAATGCAAACTTTGGTTTCTAGTACAGTAATAGTCATGAAGTTGATTGTTCCAACTAGGAACACACGCTTCTTGCCGAACTTGACACTTGACTGACTCACGACTGCCATCCGGAGCACACGAGGAGCACGTCGCACCTTCCACTCGGCAAACCTGCAAGAAAGCACCACTCCCTGCTCAATACACGGTGTTTCGGGGAATTCACCCCTCATCAGTTGAGCTTGAGTAGGCTGAGGAAGATTGTGCCTGAAAAGCACCACTTATATACTGCTCTCCAGGCCAAACCATCACCAGGGATACAAACTTACAGAGACGCTTTGTTTCCAGCGCGACAAACACCTCGTGAAGCTCCAGGTAGCAGCGTGAGTCAGAGTCGCTCATGGAGTTGTGATAAACAGACGTTGAGAGCCAGTATAGCTATTCGCAACGCTGTCACCTCCAACAACTAGTCGCACGTCCGCGTGAGGGACAACAATACGAACTTAGAAGTTGCGACTTCGGCGGTAATAGTCATGAAGTTGATTGTTCCAACTAGGAACACACGCTTCTTGCCGAACTTGACACTTGACTGACTCACGACTGCCATCCGGAGCACACGAGGAGCACGCAGTCGCACCTTCCACTCGGCAAACCTGCAAGAAAGCACCACTCCCTGCTCAATACACGGTGTTTCGGGTGTGCTCCGGATGGCAGTCGTGAGTCAGTCAAGTGTCAAGTTCGGCAAGAAGCGTGTGTTCCTAGTTGGAACAATCAACTTCTAGTACAGTGTTTGGAAAATTCCTTCTTTCACAGACCTGAAAGATAAATCTTTGCAGCAGTTAGCCTACTACTAACTCAATGTCATTGGTTCTACATGTACGTGTAGATGTACCCATTCACGCTCTACTGGTCTTGTCAAATTAGTTCCAAACGATCACAAACAATCCATCTTATTTCGGATACTCTTACACCATTTGACTAAGCCATGGGACGGACGTCAGTGCCTGACAATTCTTCATTGTAGTCTTTGATTTGTAGGGAATAAATCGCCTCCACGCCGGTAGGTGACAGACGAACAGAGCACCTCAAATTATTTTCAAATAATTACAATATCTACTATTTCGTCGTCTTCACTTGATCGCTATCAGTATCGCTTTTCCCCACGGTCTTGTCAGCTACCAACAAGCAGCAGAGTTCATGAGGCTTCGTCTTGGGAGACAAACCAAAGAAAGTGTGTGACAATCCGCATTCGCCTCAGTCAAACCAATAAGTGGATCAAAACCTGGAGAGGCGACGAACAAACGACTATCAGAACTTCCGGTACTTCGCGTTCGGTGTTCCGTTCACAGTAGGCTCCGGCGGATTACTAGTATGCTCGCGAAATCATGGAATTATGCTTTCATGGATTCTCTCATTATGCTCGCAAAATCCTCATATTATGCTTTGGCACGCGGGGATACATGTCACTTTGTTGTACTTATGAATATGAAGTCTCAAAGTTGAGAAAATTGTGCCTTTTTCGACCTTGCAAGTGGCCATAACTTAGCATAAGTACAACGAAATGTTACATGAGTAGTACACACATGATGCTAGCATGCCAAGTGGACCACAATCATGTCGTCGACGCTCGCATGCGGAGGGAAGATGTGAAGGTCTGCTGCAAGCAGGTCAGCGCGGAGAGCTGCTATATCCACTCTGTGCACATGGTGCAGCTGCCTAGTGAGGAGTGATCTCGCTGGCTGGCTTACTTCAGTAGCACAGCTGAGTGAAGCACTCACAGCAAAGTTATCGCTGATGTCACATGGTACGAATACGATGTTCCAGGATGAGGCTGGCATGGTTGACCAAGACTAGGTTGGTGCTGTCACCATGGTCACGACGTTCTGCAGTCCATAGCTTCCACACGTGTTATGCATGTGGCGTAATTGTGGGCCAGGAGAAACTGGGTAAGCATTTACATTGTCATTGAAGTCACCCATCATAGTGACCGATCCGGTGTTGTTGGTGGCTGCCTGTAATACAGTCTCTAGCAGGGCATGCGCTAAGGATTAAAATTTGTTGCTACTCTTGTAGCTGACAGATCGTTCATGTCCATCAAGCGCCGCTTCGACCTTGAGCGCTGTGGACTGGAGGCGGTTTGGCTCGAATTGCGGCCAGTGATCCTTCCCTCACTCCCCCTCATCATCTGCTCTGTTTACAGACCCCCTGGAGACAGCATCTCCCAAGTCCAGGCATTTAGTGACCTCCTAGAGGACTGTCTGTCCAATATTAGCCTCCCCGATTCGGCGATTGTACTTGCAGGAGACTTGAATGCTCGCCACTCTGACTGGTCTCCTAGTGACACCACGAATCGTGCTGGAAGGGAGTTCCGTAACCTCTTCTCTTGTTTTGGCCTTGAGCAAATGGTGACATTCCCCACACACTTTACCCCCCACGGCTCAACATCGTGTATTGACGTTGTACTCACGGATCATCCTCACCTACTACTCTCTGTTACATCTGTTGCTCCTCTTGGTGCATCTGACCACGCACAGATCCTCAGTCATTTTCTACTGCCTACTGATGCTGTTTACCGTGAGGAACCTGCTGCAAGCGGACATCCCGCTGCTGCACCCCGAAGCCACTTCAGCAATGTTCCTGCAAAGCCGGAATATGACTTTAAATCCGTGCCATCTTCCGTCTGGGATAGTGTGAATGCAGAGCTCTCTGATATTGACTGGAGCTGGCACCTGCGTGCCAGCAACGTCGATGATGCGCTTTCACACTTTTCTTCCATTCTCAACAGTGCCCTTGAGAAGCACCTCTGGCCATTCGGAAAGCAGCCGTATTCTCACCGCTGCCCACGGCCCAGTCAGCCACCCTGGGTTGATGCCCATCTCCGCACAGCAATCAAGTGGAAATATGATCTCTATAGCATTTTTAGGAAGTACCCAACACAACAAAACAAACAAGCATACCAACAGCAGCGAAATATAGTGAAAACCCTGACGCGGACAAAGTACAGAGCTTATATCCGCTCAGTGAAAACTACTTTGCAGGGTAGACACCGTCCATCGCTTCACCAGTTTGTGAGACAAGCAAGAATTCGAAACGTATCACGGGAAATTCCGTCACTCACAACAGGGACTCAGCAGGCGGCTGACCCTTTGGCCAAAGCTACGGCATTAAACGCCCAGTTTGCCTCTGTGACTCGGCCAGATGACCCGTTGCTCTCTATTCCCCCTATTCTCACCCCCTCGGAGCCCTCAGCTTGTTTCACGTCCGTCATCACCACAACTGCCACTGTCCGGCGTCATCTGAAGAAGCTTCCGACGTGCAAGGCGTCTGGTCCTGACGGCATCCCCAATCGGGTCCTCAAGGCCCTGGCACCATCCATAGCATTCCCTTTGTGCCATATTTTCAACATGTCATTTACCACGGGCATATTCCCTTCCGCATGGAAAACAGCGAAAGTCATACCTGTATTCAAGAAAGGTTCCCGCCACGAACCTGCAAACTACCGCCCTATCTCTCTTCTTCCCTGCGTGTCCAAAGTATGTGAACGCATCTTTTATGACCACTTATACAGACATGTTTCGCCGTTTCTGAGTCCCGCACAATCTGGGTTTCGTAAAGGCGACTCCACCTCTCTTCAACTGACCCGCATCGTGCAGCAGGTGTGCCAGCATAGGGATAACAGAGCGCTTGCTGGCATTTGCTTCTTTGACTTGGCCAAGGCTTTTGATACCGTCTGGCATCGAGGACTTTTGGCAAAGCTCGAGCATGCATTCAGGGTACGCAAACAACCACTCTCCTGGCTGAAATCTTATCTCTCTGGGCGTTATCAGTACGTAACTGTGCTTGGCACATCCTCGGCTGCAGAGCCAGTATTGTCGGGCGTTCCTAAAGGATCAATTCTTGGTCCCCTACTATTTATAATTTACGTAAACGACTTACCTGCAGTCTTCCCTGGAACGTCTCTGTTTGCTGACGACACGACCCTTCTCACCTCATCAGCTTCCCTCACTGGCCTGAAAAACAACTTGCGTGCTGGCATTCAGAAAGTTCTTTCCTGGATGTCGTCCTGGAGGTTGTCCCCAAATCTATCAAAAACAAAGATCATGCTCTTCCCGCCCCAGCCGGAGTTCACAACCCTCATCCATGCCAACTTTCCAAATCCAATTGACATAGTGTCTTCTCACAAACACCTTGGCATTGTGATTGACTCTGCACTCTCTTGGGTACCTCACATCGAATATATCTGTAAAAAATCAAGTAAATCCTTAGGAATTCTCTCCCCCCACTGCTCCTACCTCCCACTTTCTTGCAAGCTTCTTTTTTATTTAGCCTACCTTCGCCCAATATTTCATTATGCAGATACGTCTTGGGTTGGGTTATCCTCTTCCGCTGCTGCAAAGCTTGAAATACATCACAAGAAAATCCTTGAAATTCTCCTCCGTCAACCCCGCATGCTCTCATCATCCGCCCTTTATAAAATCGCTCACACAACCCCGTTATCACATGGACGCAGTGCACACCTGGCTTCTCTTGTCCATTCTATTAAGCTTGAGTTGTGCCCACCTCATCTCATGTGTTTTAATTGGTTCTCTTCTCTAAGAACTAGAAACTCGCTCTTACTCCCTAAGTGTAACTCATCCACTCTTTTGCGCTCCCCTCTCTTTATTGCTTATTCTGTTTGGCTCACTCTACCCAGAGAAGTTAAGGACCTGACCTCACCCCGCCTGTTTAAGATCCGTGCCGCCCCTTATTTACTACGACATGCATAGCTCATTATCCACATGTCCTTTGCGTCTCTGTGTTTTTCACTGCTTTTATTTGACATTATCTTTCTTTACGGAGTTGTTGTTGCTGTTCGTTTTGCTACTCTTTCTTTTCCCTCCCCTTATTTCTATTTATCGCCGTGGTTGGCAATCACCCACTCTCGTAATATTGGCCGGTGTTTCCGCCGAGTCTTGAGATGTTGCAATAAATAATAATAATAATAATAATAATAATAAAATATGCTCTGACACAATGTCCTGCCAGTTGCAAAAATGTCCGGACATGCAACTTTCACATCAAATCACACAATGTTCAGTGTAGAATTAATACCATCGAAATGTTATCACGACGATGCATTTCAGAAGCAGCATGATCTTTGAAGGCTGACGTTTTCAGGTTCCTTGAGCCAACGACGAAGGAGTCAGAAAAATTCTTGCTGCTGCGAATTTTCAACAAAACGGGAACACATCTTACACTTCAAATTTTCGACAACGCTACGATCTGAGGGACTGCGCTCATAGCTCAGCCAAACAGAAGTTGAAAGCTCCCAATCATACTCGGCGACCCACTTGTCACAAGTGGTCGTCTTGACTCCTCTGGGCTTCTTTCCAAGTGGAGCACCCGCATCAGCGGTGCTTGGCTTTCTCTTGCCAGACGACATCACTAATGACTATGACTGAAGTATGAGACAAAGGATTGAAGTGCCTTTTCTTTTTTGTACTTTGCAAAAAGGTGCGCGGACACTTTGTCCGGATATGTACAAAACATCCGGAAACTGACCGTAAACGGTCGGATATTGTCCGATGTCCGACCGTTATTTCGCGCCCTGTCTAGTCTGGGCCAGAACGCAACAGTTTCACTTGGCGGCCGGTACACACACCCTAAGAGATGAGGTGCCTGGACACCTTTAAGCTCGATCCAGGTGCACTCTACATCATCCGCCGTCAGATCCGGGCGAGGCTTCGCGGGGAGGGTCGACCTGAAGTAGGTCATGTTCCACCTCATCTTCCACCGGCACGGTCCTGGCGGGCAATACTGAAGTTTGGGATCCGGATTTCTCCACCAGATACTGTGCAATCAAGCCATGTTTTAGCAACACCAACTATGTCCCAGCACTGGTCCGCGATCAGCTCCTCCAGGGCGTCAACTTTGTGCCGAAGGCTACAAATGTTGATGAAGCCAAAGCGTACCAAGGAATTTGCTGGAATGAAGCCTATCTTAAGGGAAGCGGGAGGCTGCATAGCAGCACGAGGGAAAAAGGGATCAGCATAAGGATTAAGAGCAAGTGCAGTAAGTATTAAAAAGAAAGAAAGGTAACAAATACTACTAATAGTTAACACTGACGGACCGTAATTACCTTCATTGCACTAGTGGCTTCCTCTGCGGGCAGCTTCGACTCTCTCTGCCAGCTTCTTGCGCTCACGGTTTGAATACTCCTTAGCCCACGCAACTTGCGGGTCGTTCAAGGCAGAGGCAGGTGGCTCAGTGCGCCCCGATAGGACAGTGGCGGAGAAGGTGTCACTGTGTTTGCCTGCTGCAAGTCTGAAGCCTTCTTCATCAGGAGAGGGGGTTGTCCCGCTGCTCTTTTCTTTGTCTCCAGGTTGACTGAAAGCCGGCATATGGTTACTGGTACATGTATCAGTTGTGCCAGTGCTGGTCCCATTGGCTAAAAGTAAAAGTGCCTGGCGATAGCTGTTGACTGAGGCAGTGTTCAGCCCTATGTTGCTAGCTGCACCTGTCTCCACACTGACGACAGCTGGCTCTACAGCGGCTTCTGCGCCTGCGGGCTGGGTAGTCACTGTACCCGTATCATATCAGTGGCTGTACTGACGCTGGGATCCCGGGAGGGTTTGTACTCGTACCGTACCGGTTGTGTTGCGGTGCATGCTGTGCTTGTGGCACTTAACTGTGCTGCGCCCGGAGACGCCGCCTTCCGTAATCGCGCCAAGCGGAGAGAGAAAGTCGCTTGGTTCTCCGAAACGCGGCGTTTCCTCCCCGACAGGTCGGTGGAGGCCTTCTACACCGCAGCAAAACTGCCAACCGTCTCCATCGTACACTCGATTCTCTAATACCGGTGGTCAATCTGCTTCCCGGACGGACTAGCGGCTAGAGTAAAGATGACCGAATTGTCCAAGTAATTCTGTCTGTACACGATAATATAATTATTATTGTTTCCATCATCATGAAACGAGCGTTGTAGAGCTGAGGACCTGAGAAGAGTTGATTGTTAATTCTACTCATCAAAGAAGCCATCAGCTCTCGAGCGATCTCTTTGTTCTAAATTATTCAGATGACATACCGCCATCGCAATCAAGTAAAGATTAGTTTCCAGAAACTGAGAAAGGCCCTCATAAAGAGTCATATCACTTTCGCGGCCTGCTGTGCGCTCTACTCTACTCCGTCTTCGAGAGGTTGGACCAGTACAGGGAGTAGGTCTACTCGTAGTCGTACTAAAAAACTGCTCGCGTGCCTGTATGTAGTGTGTGTATGAGTCGGCATTGCAATGCACTCTACAAGAGGATTGCCTGCCTGCTTGCTGATAAAACCAGCGAGCCTTACAGCTGCCAACACCGTCATGGCATGGGTCCGCTGTACTGTAGACTCAGCTTTGCCCTCCTCCGTGCTAGTGTGATGTGCCTCCGTGGATCCCGCACTCTGCGCGCCCCTGTTCGCTTCAACTCCCCTGCCTCGCTTGTTGCAGCTGAGGCAGTGATCCCAGGACACTAATCATATAGTATTATTACTTTTGTTATTATTATCAGGCTGTTTTCGGTTTGTTATGATTTCTTGGTTTTCCATATTAGACTGTATTCACGTTCCAATGTAGTGTGTGTACGTAGGCGCCTCTTGTCGTGAGCACTGAGTACAGGCATGTACTCGAGTACGAGTACTGGAGTAGACTTTCTATTTCGCCGCCACGTCTCCCCGGCCCCCCCTCCTCCACCCTACACAGTGGGTCCATTGTTATTACTTAATATTAGGCATCTGCCTGTTTTGGTTTTCTCCACTACAGGTTAAAATAAAAGAATACTACTACTACCTCGTGTTTGTTTTTTCGCCTTGCAAGCAACCCCATGTTTTGTTCACGCTTTTTCCGCGTATAATCGCTAAATTGCTTCTTTCGCGCTAATTACTCGACAGTGCTCAACGCCTGTCTGTCCAGTTCTCTGGTTATATTGAGTTCCATATTGTAATTTATCTTCATTCCTCTGATGAAGTGACTCATGTCAAACTTGGAACTCTCCTTGCTTGTGAGTGCGTGGTTGTTATGGAACCTGCAGCTCTTTGCTTCAAGAAATCTTTACCAGCCGCTGCTGTAGCTCTCACACCACTGCCACTACGAGATCCCAGGTGTCTTTTTCTTTGGCATTACCCCCAGCACAGAGTACGGCTGGCTTTTCTCGGATTGGCTATCTCGCTGCTGACCGGTGGAATATGCTGCCTTCCACTGTTCGTACTTGTACAGATTACCGCTCATTTATTCGCTCATGCATAACCTTCCTAGGGGCTCCCGTAAGAAGACCATAGGTCTGTGGGAAACACCCTAGTAAAATAAAAGTTAATAATAATAATAATTAACTGGTTTGAGGGAAAGAGACAATAATAAAAATAATAATAATAATACAAATAATCTACGTGGAGATAAAAGTTTAATAATAGCAATGAAAAGTATGAATGCCGCAGACATCACCACGCAACATGACAATTTGTTCAAGGTTTGGTTTTGTGTGTTTCCAAAATCGATTTTCACGTTGCGATCATCAGTGGAAATACGCAACTAAAGAGATCAAGGGAAAAACAAAGGTTAAAAATCCAAAGAAGTGTGACACATGACGGGTAACTTGTGGTAAGTATTACAAAAAGTGAGAACTAAAATAAAGAGTAAGTGTGACAAACGGGCATGAACAGTGCAGAAACAACTCATGAACACGGGGTGCAAACTCACGAAAATAACCTAAGTGCTAAAACATGTTCTTTTTGCTTACACAAATCGGGCTTATGCGTACGAATACAAACAGCTTCAAGGACCTTCAACTGTTGGACATAACGGGCACGACACAGTACAGAGAAGTGGGAATCATCATACACACTCAAACAATCGGGACGAGATAACAAATGCAAATACACAGCTGACTTCTTACGAATTTCACCCTCATCAGCTCCATCACCTTCCCTGCCACCTGACTCCTCCTCGTCCGTTTTATCACCATCACCACCAGCCGTCTCACCGTCATCCGCCTCGTCTTCATCCGCCGCCTCGTCATCACCCGCCTCGTCGTCATCTGTATCCTCGCCGTCATCCGCCTCGTCGTCATCTGTATTCTCGTCATCCGCCGCATCATCACCCAACTCATATTCACCACCAGTCAGTCGTCTGATACCATCCATGTTCTCCTTCCTACGTCTGTCCCGTGTCACTGTCCTTACCTCATCTACGTCCCGAGATTGTGTTCCGTTTTGCCCCCGGCTTCCGGTCTCCTTCGATGCTCCGCGTGGGCCTTGGCCATTCCTAGCATATATTTCGGTTGAATAATTGGCGGTCGACCTCCGTGGTCTCTGGACCCACGGATCAATCGCCGGAGGGTGCTGCGGTGTCCGCACAGCCGGATACTGTGTCAAAGAAATGGGCTCAATTTCTGTGATTGGCGGTACTGTTGTTGTTGCCGACTCCTCCCCAACCCCAGCCCCCAACGGCACTGGTGGTGGCTCCGGTGGCGGCAAGGGCAACGGTGGAGAAGGCGATGAAATTGTAACGTCAATATACAGGAAACCAACATTTACCGGACAATATATCGTGTTTGACTCGTATTGTTCGTACCTGTATAAGGTCAACTTGGTGAAGAATCTGGTGGATAGAGCGCGGCGAATCTGTTCCCCCTCTCGACTCAAGGATGAGCTAGGTTTTCTGAAATCTGTGTTTCTCAAAAATGGTTACCCGGAGGAACTGCTAAACAAGCTACTAAAATCAGCATCAAAACCAAAGGTCGTCATCATTGGTCCAAGTCGTTGCCCGGTCTACCTTTCCTTACCTTGGAAAGGAGAGGCATCACAGACATTGTGCCGCACAATCAAAACGCTAGTTACACAAACATACTTTGCGGCGCACTTCATCCCTGTGTTCACTACGATACGTGCGTTCACGGTGAGGAAGGATGTCCTACCATCCCACCTATTGAGCCACTTGGTCTACCAATTTGAGTGCCGGAATTGTGATAGCCGGTACGTTGGTAGGACCCTTCAACACCTGAGCGCACGTATCAAGCAGCATGTACCACTTCACATGCTGCAGGACGCAGCAAAAGCGAAGCGCCCGAAGCGGGGAAGACCACGCAAGAACCCGCTCCCTCTACCACCGACACAACCAGAGCAAGTCGAACACACGGTGCAGAGGAAGAGTGGTGGATCACTAAGCCAACCGAATGTGCCTTCTCCACCGTTGCCCTTGCCGCCACCGGAGCCACCACCAGTGCCGTTGGGGGCTGGGGTTGGGGAGGAGTCGGCAACAACAACAGTACCGCCAATCACAGAAATTGAGCCCATTTCTTTGACACAGTATCCGGCTGTGCGGACACCGCAGCACCCTCCGGCGATTGATCCGTGGGTCCAGAGACCACGGAGGTCGACCGCCAATTATTCAACCGAAATATATGCTAGGAATGGCCAAGGCCCACGCGGAGCATCGAAGGAGACCGGAAGCCGGGGGCAAAACGGAACACAATCTCGGGACGTAGATGAGGTAAGGACAGTGACACGGGACAGACGTAGGAAGGAGAACATGGATGGTATCAGACGACTGACTGGTGGTGAATATGAGTTGGGTGATGATGCGGCGGATGACGAGAATACAGATGACGACGAGGCGGATGACGGCGAGGATACAGATGACGACGAGGCGGGTGATGACGAGGCGGCGGATGAAGACGAGGCGGATGACGGTGAGACGGCTGGTGGTGATGGTGATAAAACGGACGAGGAGGAGTCAGGTGGCAGGGAAGGTGATGGAGCTGATGAGGGTGAAATTCGTAAGAAGTCAGCTGTGTATTTGCATTTGTTATCTCGTCCCGATTGTTTGAGTGTGTATGATGATTCCCACTTCTCTGTACTGTGTCGTGCCCGTTATGTCCAACAGTTGAAGGTCCTTGAAGCTGTTTGTATTCGTACGCATAAGCCCGATTTGTGTAAGCAAAAAGAACATGTTTTAGCACTTAGGTTATTTTCGTGAGTTTGCACCCCGTGTTCATGAGTTGTTTCTGCACTGTTCATGCCCGTTTGTCACACTTACTCTTTATTTTAGTTCTCACTTTTTGTAATACTTACCACAAGTTACCCGTCATGTGTCACACTTCTTTGGATTTTTAACCTTTGTTTTTCCCTTGATCTCTTTAGTTGCGTATTTCCACTGATGATCGCAACGTGAAAATCGATTTTGGAAACACACAAAACCAAACCTTGAACAAATTGTCATGTTGCGTGGTGATGTCTGCGGCATTCATACTTTTCATTGCTATTATTAAACTTTTATCTCCACGTAGAT